CTTATTGGACAACTGATGGGCCAGCTCTAATGCATAGGAGGGAAGGCATTTTTTATGTTGGTCTTTCAATTATTTCAATCATCACTCTTTTCCCATCAAGAGTGCTGAGTTTCCTTTTTTTTTTGCCCCTCTTGTTGGACATACTAACCTTTTCTCTCTGCAAAACTTGATCAAAACAGGCAAGATTACAACCAAGACCTTATAGAAACACAACACATGACACATTCAAACAAAAAAATTAATATTTTCACTCAAAGTTTGTAGGGAAGCAAGGGGTGTGTGACAGATGCACTCCCACCCTCCACACACACTATAATAATAGACTGAAGTCTGTTGGGTGGATTCAGTCCATTCATCCATTGGACAAGAGGCTATGAATGGGTATGAATGTATGATCAGCAAAGTTCATCCATTGATGACTCCTCCTCACTATTAAAGTGTAATTCTGTGAATGTGTTTTTTTCCATTACTATACTGTAATTTTTTTTCACTGTTCCTGAATTGGTTTTTAAATCATTGTTTATTTCGTTTTTAGTATTTTTTTCTCACAAATTTTTAGAAGAGTGACTAAAGATGTGATCCCTGGTACCCATTTGTACTGCAGGTTCATGACCTCAATATAGTTCACTTTTTGGAGGATATTTTTTTCCTGCCAGAGCTCTTGCTCCTGTAAGGTTTTACTGATGGGTTCTGAAGGCTTGGGGGTTCCTATACTATATTGGATCTAAATACTGCATGATGGGCAGTATTCACAGTGAAGATAATTTGTTAGAGTGTAGTATAATGAGCTTTAGCTGTGGCTTGTCAGCATTCATGAGGTTCACAAAATGTTCACACACATCATCCAATGATTGCTGACAGCACATTCCAAACTATATAAAAAATAATTAACTACTGTACATGATTTCTGATTCTGATATCACATAGAATTTATACCCCCATTTCCTCTCCCAAGGAAATATACATTCCCTAATGAACCTGCTGCTCACACATTTCTCAGATGTTAAAATTCGTCTCCATTACTGCATGTGTATATATAATGATGATCAATGCGTCAGCCTGCCAGCAAATCAAGTCGGGCGTCGTGGGCCTCATCGGGCCAGCTGACCCATTCCTGGGCTCCCACACGCACTCCATTTGCGTGGCCATGGGTGTGCCGCACCTCCAGGTCCGACCCTATCACGAATCCAGTGCCTCCATGGATGCGCATCGTAGCACAGGTTCGAATTCATATACTGTATATGATATCCCTTATTACAATATTACAGTTTGACTGTAATACCATATATGTAACTCATCCAGCAGAACCTCATCATCAATGACTCCTATGTGGACTTTTTTTTTCAAACCCTGTCTGAGTTCCATGGAGATTAATAAGTTGAATAAGCCTTTTAACTTGAAGAACTCCCCACCCCTCACCCTTCAAACTGCTCATAGCAATCAAATTTCTGGAATTTTTCTTTGTATGCAGTTGCCAAGATTGTTATGCCTGAAATTTGAAGAGAAGGCAGCAGCTTTAAAAAAATGAAAAGCAGGGATTATCAAGTTGTTCCCAAGTTTGGTTGAACAGGCGTTTTCAACATGTGAAGTTCCAAGGTTTCCTGTTTGAATTGGAAAAAATTGATAGGCTTTTATTGAACCAATTGAATGATGATGATAAACCATTCAGAATCAGTCAAACCTTCCAATAATGTTGAATTTTTGGACCCTGTCTGAAATCCCTTAAAAACTATGCGTATTATAAACCTTTTCTAAACTTATTAAAGACCTTATTCTAAAACTTATGTATCTCAAATTTCTGCATTTATTTTTGTCTCCACATTGACAACCTAACCAGATTCTTTTGATGCAAATTTGAAAAGAAGTCAGCATGGAGAAATAGAGAAGTGAAAACCATCGAGGGATTGTCAGTTTTTTTAAAATTTAATTCATGTGGCAGGCTAGGAGATTTTGAACATATATGGTGCCAAGGCTTCCTCTGGTTTCATTGAAAAAAAGTGAAGTAAATGTGATATACATGGTATTTTGAATCTATTCCTTTATGCATGCAGTTGAATCTCTATATGACTGAAACCACCCCATGTTGAATTTTCATGTACCTGTCTGCATTCCCCCAAAAAAAAAATGTATGATGAACCTCCCAAGCCCAAAACCTTTCCAATTATATAAGCTGAAGACTTTAGTTATGGAAGTTGATTTAACTTTTATAACTCAAATTTATTCATTACTTTTTGTCTTTATGCAGTATAGCCCACCTAACCAGATTCTTATGTTTCAAATTCGAAAATAAGTCAGCATGAAGAAATAGAGAAGAGAAAACCAATCCAGGGATTGTCATTTTTTCTTAATTTAATTCATGTGGCAGGCTATAGGAGATTTTGAACTTCTGCTGGGTGCCAAGGCTTCCTCTAGTTGTATTAAAAAAGTAAATTAAATGTGATATACATGGTATTTTGAATCTATTCCTTGATGCATGCAGTTGGATCTCTATATTAATGTACTCAAACCACCCCATGTTGAATTTTCATGGATCTATCTGAATTCCCCCAAAAACAAAATGTATGTTAAACCTCCCAAGCCCAAAACCTTTCCCCTTACACAGTATAACTGAAGACTTATTTAGTCATAGAAGTTGATTCAACTTTTGTAACAAATGAACAATTTATTGATTATAATAATTTATAACATCTTTTGTAAGAGTGGACAGTAAAAATGTGACTTGATGCTTTTCAAAAGAAAGTGAGGGACTAATTGAGTAAATAAGCAACCCAGAAGAATACTTATCCCTGCATGTCATCCCTTCCACCTGCTGGCCCCTTTATACAAATATAAGCTATCTATTTGAAGAGTATAGAGAGGTGAAGGAGAAAGGAATAAAAATGAAGCTATACAAATGCATGCGAATAGGTCTTACTTTTGTTATTTTCAATTGGCTTTATTGTCTCAAATTTTCCGTCTCAAATTGTCGGTATCCCGAATAATAAAGGAAATGCAATTTTTAAAAAATCGCAGCATTTCAAAGACCGATAAAAAACACAGACCTGATGGATATGTAATGAGTTCCCTTCACTTTCTATACCGCATGATTCATTTTCCCGTGCTGGGCTATAAAATATTCCGACCTGATTAATTGAAACAGGTCCCACGCCGTATGACGACGGATCCGGGTTCCGACCCCCGGCCCAGCCAGCAGTGAACCTGTACCCACCCAATGTCGTGTTGACCCGAGCCGTGACTGACCTCATGAGTTTCCTCAACTGGACCCAGGCAGCAGTGTTGTACGAGGACGATTTTGGTCAGTTCTATATACCTTTCACGTGCTGGTGAACAGAGCCTTCAATAACTGTGTACAGTATACTGTATAGTATCAGAGGTTTTTTTAAAAAAGACAGTATCACTCAAACGTTGTCATTATTTATTGAAGCACGAAAACAAAAGATGGATGATTCGAGAAAATTGCTGTAAACTACTGTGCTTGGAAGGAATATTTAATCAATTTTAATAAAAATTGCTAGTGGTAATTTTTTCACTTTTTGGCTGATCGATGGTTCTATTGGTGAATTAAAACAAATTGAGATTTGAAGAAATGCTGAGGCTGATGAAACATTTTTTCTTTTCATTTTTTGAGGCAAACCTCATTCGCTGGGTGTCTCATTGTTTCCTTGAGAAGCCCTCCAAGAGTGTACTCATATTATACACATTCCCCATGTATTATTCACAGGATATGATGGGAGACCGCATTCCCCACTTAAAAATAATGTGGAAAAAATAATATGGTCAAACCTAAATTTATAGTATTTCCATCATTTGTCCTGCTGGCACATTTTGTGGTCCTGAATTGAGGATATTATTCACTTACACATGGAAAGAAGGGTTTGTGAAGGGTTTATACTGTTTATAAAATATTGTAAGCTAGTTTACAGAATTGTTATGCCACATCGTCTGTTTTATAACGGAGGAACAATCTACAAGAAATAATTTAAAACTCAAAGGTACTGTACTGTAATCCTTTTTTCTTTTTTTTTTCACCGTGACAGGAGTCATGGTGAAGTTTTATCGAGCAACAAACGAATCTAGTTTCAATAATTGAATGATTAAAATTAATCGGCATTTACCAATGAATGTTACATCAAGGTCTCATCAAGTTCCAAGACCTTGGCCAACCCGAGGCTGGCACCCCGAACCTGGGTGTCGTCCGACGGCCGCCCGACATCTACCTGCGACAGGGAGTGCCGCCGTTTTACCGCTCCGCCCTCAAGGACATCAAAAACCGCCGCATCTTCAACATCGTCGTCGACACCAAGAGCCAGTACATGAATGGCTTCTTGCGAGCAGTGAGTTCCTTATTCTCCTGATGCTTTCATCATTCATATAATACATGCATTATTGGATCTGGATAATTATTCAATTACATTATTTTCCATTTATTGTTTAATTTTTCTGTGTTTTTTTCCCCCGTACGCCAGATTCTACAACTGCAAATGAACGACGACCGCTACCACTACGTGTTTACTTCTTTTGTGAGTCATTCATTTTCTTGAAAAGATGCATTTGAGCAAGGTATACATTTTATTGTTCAGTTTATATATATGTCCAGCAGTTCTAATAATTTTTGGACGCACAGACCTCATAAAAAAGAAGATTGTTTCCTCAGTGGAATTTAAAAAAAAACGAAGGCAATCAGGTGGTTATTATTGCAGCCAAAAATATTCATTCAAGTAAGCTCCTCATTGAATGCAAATTTCTATACTTTTGTGACTTGATTCATTTTTGGAGAATCACATTATAGTCGAAGTATTGCACAATATAATTTCAAATACATTATGTACAATCAGTGTAAATGAGTACAAAAATATTTTTTTCACAATAGTCAAAGTAGGCCTTGCAATATCACAATCCCTTTCATGTTTGAATACAGTTGATACATTTTTGCTTCAAAGAGTTCAAAATGGCTGCTGTGTGGTTTTGGTTGTGCAACCTGACCAATTTCTGTTACAGTGCTTCAAGTTATTCTGATTCTTTAAATACATGAATATTTATTTAAGCAAGATTTTTTGAAGGAAAAACATGTTACTATGAAAAAATTGGATGAGCCATAACATTTGCAGGATAGGTTTTTGGGTGCATTTAATGCCAACTAATTAAGGTCTGTGTCTTACACTCTTACTCAAATAAGAATGTGGTACTTGAGTAAATGGTGTAAGTGGCCCCAGCCTTACAGACCTCCCGCATAAGGGATTTTCGCCTAACAGACCAGCTTTGCAGGCAGGTTTTCCTCCCGCCCAACAGACAATATCTGCCAAACAGACTTCTATTGATTTAAAATTAGTGTTGACAATTGAAATTTTTAATTGTTTGTTATTATTGAATTTGTCTAAAGGACATTTTCATCTAACAGACTTGTCCATTGCACAAATTAAGTCTGTTAGATGGGGGTTGACTGTACAGTTAAACCTTGATAACTCAAACCGCCCTCAGTCAAATACTGTACCTTGTTATTTCAAAAATGTTTCATGGTTCAGTCTGAATGTCCTTATTGAAAACAATGCACTAAAAACCTCCATAAGTAGAAGAATTTCCTCATCAAATCTCATCCATAAGTTGAATTATCTGGGGGAATTTTGGTTATTATTTTATTGGGACAGGAAAGAGAAAAGAAACCAAAATGTAACTTGATGCATTTTTAAAGGAAGTGAAAGACTAACTTGAAAAATGAACCTTAGCATCCAAGTTGAATATCCTGTCAACTCATCCAAAAAGAAATTTAAGGTCCAGAATATCACATATTACAATTTGCTGTAATTATTCCTTTCCTGGCCCCAGCAACATGAATTCCTTTTTTTCCTAACTCATGAAAACCTGAATATAACTGGAATTTTCTGCTCTTTTGTTGGAGTTCAACTTCAAGAGGTTGTTTGACTGTTTTATTATGAAATATTTGAAAAAAAATGGCCCGAGTACTTCCATGATGCTATTTTAATGGGGCGAAAACAAATTAATGAATCAATCATTTATTTCCCACATCAGGATGTGGAGACATTTGATCTGGAGGACTTCAAGTACAACTATGTGAACATGACAGCATTCCGCCTGGTGGACAGTGGTGAGCGACATGTGCGCAACACATTGCGGGACATGGAGGAGTACCAGCCCTTTGGCAACCCTCTGCTCAATAGGACAGGCGTCATTGAGGCTGGCCCAGCCATGATATACGACAGCGTCTTTGTGTTGGCCCATGGGCTGCAGGCCATGTTCCTCACACACTCTCTGACAAGCAGTGCTGTTGGAGGCAACCCATTCACTGGACACAAGTGAGCACCATCACCTGCTGCTAATATGGGCAATTCATGTGCCACAAACTAATACATACATATATTCTGGTTTATTACTTGTTTCACACAATTCTCAAGTTATAGAGATTTAAAAAATCTGTGAGGTTATATATGATAAGAGTATATGAAAAAGGAAAAGGGCTCATCAGTCATCACTTATTCTTGTCACCATTGTTATAATTATCACTGCTGTTATAATCATCAGTTATTTATTCTTTGTTGGAATGTGCTGTAAATGAAAAATTTTTCAATTGAACAGAAGAATTCTTTGAAAGAATGTTGCTGTATTTTTTCTGCAAGCATACAGTTGATAATGAGTAAATGCTCTTATTCTAAGGCAATTTTTGTTCATTTTCTATGTACAGGTGATAATACTTGCAATTTGGCATCCTGCAATTCAACCATTCCACAATAATTCAACAGTATATAATTTGGTGGGAAGTCAACTTGCAATATGCAACCTCTTGCTCCACAATTTGACTTGCAGAGAGACTCATCAAAATGTCAAATTCAATGTAGAATACACCAAATTCGAAATTGCCTTGCAATTTGACCACTTCAAGATTCAAACCTCATATACCCAGCAATGGATGAGGGTCACATTTTGGGGCACACCACCTGTCCAGTATTTGCAACATCAGTGCTTGTTTTTTGGAAATTTAGGAAAGGAAAGGGATGAAATATGATTGTTCTATGTTAAATTTTCAATTTTTCCCTATTTGACAAAGAGTTTGAAAATTATGAAAATTACTTTTATAGCCTTTGTGATGTCAAAACATGTGAGAAAATCTCATCACAAAATAATTCCCCAAGTACCATGAATCTCATTATAGTACTCTTTTAAGGTTTTGACAGGCCCCTGCTGCTGGGAGTTTTCTGTTGTACATTTCTTTTACTGTATTGAAGGCGTCAACAGCAGCAACAACAACAAAAGCCCATGATGACAATGACAACGCTGCACTCAAATGCATCCTGTTGGGACAAGAGATCCTGGAACCTGGGCCATGAATTGTTCCGCCATGTTGATGGTGTCAAGTTTCATGGACTCACTGGACCCTTGGAGTTCAGTGGTGGCAAAAGAAAGGGTCTAAAATTTGACCTGCTCAAGCTGCGTCAGGAGAAGCTTGTCAAAGTGAGCAGCTTGTTTCCTTAATCTTCCTCAGTTTGGTCTTTCTAGCATAATAAGATGCTAATATTGGATGGTATAGCCAAAAAACTAGTGATTTTCATTGCAATCTTATGCTCAGAGTTGTTATGCCTCAGCTGAGGAAAATCACAAGTGAAAGAAAATGAGAAGAAATGAAAACAAATTAGTTGTTGGAAATTTTCTAGATGTAAGACATGAAACTCAACTGATGATTTAAAGGATGTTCATGAAGGACTTCACTGCTTCCATATGCCAGTCTTTCCAAACTCTGATCATGAGCACCATCCCCTAAATGAGTGCCAAAACTGTGAAAGTCCTGCCAATTTTCAACTCAAAATTTCCTGAGGCTGTCATCCTGGCTTATAATTCTGCTGCTATATCTGGCAACGAAATAAATGCATCATAATAAAATTTAATTTTAATGATTTTCACAAAGAAAGTGAGTTTCAGGACTCATTTGGAAAATGTTCCATTTGTCTGGGTGTTAGGAGGAAACCCAATACAGTATTTATTTTTCATCAGATAATTTCCACTGCTATTGTCTTTCCAGTATTTCATGAGAGATAAAAAAATAACAGACTTCATTGCTAATTTTGTTGATACATTATGCAGTAGAAAATTTTTTGAAGACTGGCATCAGTTCAACAATAATGGCTCTCACCTGTTGTCTCAGTTGGCCTCGCATTCGTTTGAAACCCTGCTTCATGAAACATATTTGATTGGCTCATATGTATCTCGATTGACAACACTTGACTGCTGCTGCAGGTCGGGGAATGGCGTGAAATAGCCGCCACAACCATGACGACCAGCACCAGTGGCGGCGGCGACGAGCAGCGCACATGGGCGCCAGGCATCACACTGACTGATGAAAATGTGTTTTATGAAGGCCGAGCCCCGAATGTCACACTGCGGGTCACTACAATTCTTGTAAGACAACTTATGCATAATCTAGCAGTTTTTTTTTCTTCCAATGTTCATATAGGTAGACCAGACGTGTATATATGGCAGTGGGGTTATTCTAGGCTATTGGGTGCCAACAACAAGCCTGTTTTCGAAAAGTCATCAAGCTAGCACATAACAGTGAGACCCCCACATGCGGACACCTCAACCTGTGGACAATTCAACATGGGGAAACTTATTTTACCATAAACAAATAATGAAAAAGGCTTGACATGAGGACACTGACTCGACATAGGGTATATTTTGTATTAAAATTGTAAATACATTTCAGGCCAAATTACAAGATACAGATATTTCAAACCCTAAAATTGGTGTATGAAAAGTTCTTGGGCATTTCTCTCACCAATTTACCATCCATTTAGCTAATTTAAAAAAATTACCTCCAGCAGAGAGGGACTTCCTTCTCTCTTTTTCACTTGAATATAATTTCTACAGAGAATGCCAACATTTCTATGTACTGTATACAGATGTATTAGTATTCAATTCCCCAAATGCCCATATTGTGTTGAAATGTATTGATTGGAACCAGTTTAAATTGGGAGACAATTTTTATTTTCATGGAATTATGGTGAGTATTTTGACCATAAAACACCAATTAAAAATTATATAATGTAACTGTGAGGGGAAATGAGACTTGACGTAGGGACATTTCGACTTAGGGACACTCTTTATGCACCAATTATGTCCGCATCTTGGTTAACTCACTGTAAACCTCTCCATGAGCCAAAATTATTTTTCAAGTCTTAGTGTAAATTCTCTTAGAAAAAAAAATGCATTTTTGAAAACCTCTTCAACTGCATGGATGAAAGGCTTTCCCCCTGCTAAAAACTCCATAGTATACATTTTGTAAATGGAGGCCTTTTGTCTATTATTTTTTTTTGATTCAGGAAATATGATTTGTAATTTGATGAGTTTTGAAAGGAAGTGAACAAGTAATTGTGCAAATGAACCTTTGCATCCAAGGTCATCATTGTGTCAACTCATTCATCAAGAATAGCAATTTAAAGCCCAGAATATTTTACCAACAATTACAATTTCCTGTGATTCTTTTGTATTTCTCCCAAGAAAAATGCTTGTTTCCATAATTCAAAACATCTCCAACTTAAATGTTCTTGTTGGTTATTGCATGACAATTCTATTCACTTTTTCTCTCTGTTAGCAAAGCACAGTACTGTACAGTACTTGGGTATGCTTTTTCTTCTTTTTGCACAAAGGAATTTATTCGCTCCACTGTAAATTCTGAGTTGATGGTCTTTATAAAATTTCATTAATAAAAAAAAACTAAATTATCGAGGGATTTATTTTGGAAAAATCAATGCTTCTGTAAACTGCGAAATTTTCCAGCTGTAACAGAAACAGTGCCGCATTAATAATATCGATGAATGAGTGAATTTTCGGGAAATTCTGAAATTGTTTAGCACGAAATTTAAATTGAGGAAGTACATAAGCTCTTAGCGTTCGGTACACGTAGATCGTGCTGCATTATTGACCCTTTGATCCTTTGATTGATTGATTGATTGATTGAAGGAAGTGCCATATGTGATGCTGGAAGACGACCACATGAACCGGACAGGGAATGCCCGTTACAAGGGCTTCTGCGTCGACCTGCTCAAGCTCATCTCCAAGCTGCAGGGTTTTGACTACAAGATCCAGCTGGTCAAGGATGACAAATACGGGGTCTTCCACCTCGAGACCAAGGAGTGGGATGGCATCGTCAACGAGCTCATCCAAGGGGTATGTATACCTGTGTATGTGAGGCTTATTATTCAGTACGGTGTGAGATCCCCACCTCGACCTGCGGACAATTCCACATAGGGACACTTATTTTTCCCAGAAAAAATTAATGAAAAAGGCCCGACATGAGGACACTGACACAACATGGGGACATTTTGTGATAAAATTGTAAATACATTTCAGGCCAAATGAAAAGAAATAGACATTATGGTAATTTATGAAATCTTGTTAAGTTTCAGAAGAAAAATAGAAATAGAAATAGATAAGATAACCATAAAATTGCATAACCATAAAATTGATGCAAGAAAAGTTCTTGGGCATTTTCCCCACCAATTTACCATCCATTTAGCTAATTTTAAAAAATTACCTCCAGCATATAGACAAAGGACTTTGATTTTTTTTCACTTGGATGTTATTTTTGTAGATGCCAACATTTAAATTTACAGTACTGTTCAGAAATACACTATTCAATACTCCAAATGTTCTTATTGAGTTGAAAATGTATTCAATAATTCAAATTCAAGTGGCAAACAATATTTTTCAGGGAATTCTGAAGAATATTTCTCCTATAAAACACCAATTAAAAATTAAATAATCTAAGTCTATGGGAAAACAAGACTCAACTTAGGTATGATTCAACTTAGGGACACTCTTGATGTACCAATTATGTCTGCATTTTGGGGTCTCCCTGATATACAGTGAGACCCCTATGAGATGTGGATGTATAATTGGTTCATCAGCAAGTGTGTTCCCAAGTTGAAATGCCCCCAAGTTGAGTCTTGTTTTCCCATAGACTTATACAGTGTTACATAAATTTTAATTTGTGTTTTATAGAAGAAATAGTCATCAAAATTTGATTTAAAAGACTTTTTGCCAGTTGAAATTGATTCAGTGATCACCTTTCAACTCAATAGCAACATTTTGAGATTTGAATACTGTACCTCTGTTCAGTAAATGAAAATTTTGGCAATTGTAAAACTGACATTCAATTCACAAATAGAGAAGGAAGTCCCTCTATGCTGGAGGTAATTTTTTTTAATTAGCTGAATGAATGGGAAAATGATGGGGGAAATATCTAAGAACTTTTCTTGCATGGATCTTGGGATTGGAAATACAGTATCTGTTTTGTACACAATCAAGCCTGATAAAAGTAATTTTTCCCAATACTTATTGGTGAGTTTATCATGCAATGTCCTCATGTTGAGTCAGTGTCCACATGTTGGGACTTTTTAATGCATTTCCTATATTGGTAAATAAATTTCCGTTTGTCAAATTGTCTGCATGTCAAGGTGTCTGCATGTGGGGGTTTCACTGCACTGAATAATCTTGTCCTTTACATGGCACACTTTTGGGGAACTTCAGAAAAAAATATGCTTTACAGTACTTTAGAATACTGTATTTTGTAAAAAAAAAATCAAAATTAATGATTTAAAAAAGCAAGATTGTCATAACATTTGATATTTGCAGGGCTTTTTGCTGCTGGGACTCGAGGAAAAGCTTCTTATATAATGAAAAATTTATTGTAATGGTATTAGTTGCAACAAGATTTCACTGTGCATTGAAGGATGATAAAAATGTAAACTGAACAAGATTTCCAATGGTGTCTCCAGCATTAATTGCGAGAAATATCCATGTAAGTATCGTCTACTTGAGTACCACCCACCCTCACACCGAGATTTTTCATTTTTCATGTAAAATTTAAAAATACCATCTCTGAAGAAGATGTGCATCTTAGTTTTCAGTTACGAAGATCCATCATACTTTAATTAATACATGGGGCAATAATCTGCATGCAAGCCCACTAAGACTTTAAATTCAATGCCAAGTTTTTTGTCTCATGCAAAATAAAGAAGGTAACTTAAAAAAATGTTAATGTGGGGAACAATTAAGAAATTTTCATAATTGACAGTCACTGGAAAACTTGCACTTGACTTTGATGGACACCTCATTTTTGGCCCAGGTTTCTTGAAAAAGGTGCACACGGTACTTCCATAAATGCAGTAGATGGTGTACCTTGAAATTTGACTTCCCACAATTCAACCATCCTGCAATTTGACAGTCAAATTTTCAGCAAAGATTAACTTGCAATTTGACCTTTGTCCCAAAATTCTACCTGCTTTGCCCACTTTTTGTATTTTTTGTGCTGATATTTTTCAATGTTATGAAGTTTCTCACAAATTGACCGCTTTGCAATTCAACCCTAGCCTGGCAATTGATTAGGTTCAAGTTGCAAGGTATATCCCCTGAAGTTGGAAAAAGTTAAAAACTTTGCTATGTGATGATTTTTCTCCCCAGAATAGTGAATGGATAAAAAAGGGAAATGGTTGCACATTTTTAATGTTTCTCTGAAATTCTCTGCTCAGTTATTATGTTGCATAATGTTTATGCTGGTGTTCAGGTGTTCAAACATTCAGTTTTCTGCCTAGAGATCTATTCTATATGGTGTACACACAATAATAAAGTACCAGCATGCACACAATTTTTTTCTGCAAAAGGCAAAATGTTGTTGTACACATGTAAAAAAAAGTATGAAAGCAGTGGTGCTAGTCATAAGGGAGACTTTGAAGGAGAAAATAAGAACCATTATATTATGCTTGGTATTTATTGTGCCATACTGCTTCAAGTTATTATGATTATTTACACAATTACTGTATTTAGTTGAACGTGATTATTAGAAGAAGAGAAATTGGTTGGAAATCAGCAATCATTTTGGGGTGTAACATATTCAGGAACATGGGTTTCAAGCAGATTCTATGCCAAAAAAACTGAGATGGAAGTGCCATCATGTGCCATCATCTTACTTGATGGCACATGATACTTCAGTATAAATACCATGTTCTGCTGAGCACTCATGTATGACCCGAGTGTCTTATTTGAGCTAATTACATGTCTAAATATCTGTTGATTTATTCTTTTGCCTATATCTCATTGTGCAGGAGGCAGACCTGGCTGTGGCAGCCATGACAATCACTCATGCAAGAGAAAATGTCATTGACTTCACAAAGCCATTCATGAACCTTGGCATATCCATCCTCTTCAAGGTATTGTTTGATCATCAATCAGTTGTGTGAGTGTGTCACAACCTTCTCAGAATAATTGAAATGGAAGTAATTGTCATCTTCCATGAGGTATCAGCAGGATTTGTCCATACAAAACTCCAAGTGTATATACTGTAGTGCATTTTAATGAAAGACCCACTCTGTCAACAAAAATTCTTCAGTGAAAAAAATGTGGCTCAGGCAGTGCCATTTTTATAGAGGTTTTGAGGGAGGATGAAATCTTGCTGTTTAGGGAGGTTCATAACACATGCTTTTGAAATGAGTTCAGACAGGGGGGCTTTACAAAATTTGACAAGGGAAGTTTAAATTTTTAGGAAGATCTCTCTGCTGCTGCTGCCTCATTGAAAAAGTGAATTTTTCATATCTCAATTACTGCATCTTTGTCTGATGAGACAAGGTTGATAAATAGTGAAAAATTTGCATGCATTGCTGTGTTTCTTAATTTTTTCTCCTTTGTCTCTTTTCTTTTCTTCTTTGGTTACTGCTGGATAATTGCATGATGGTTTGGTGTCTGCTTCATGCTGGTGCTGGTGTTTATAACCTCTGATGGATGGTCATCATAACTGTCCATGATTTCTGTATACTGGATGCATGCATTTTTAATGCAAATTCATACATTTGAACCCCACATGTGATGGATGCATTCTGCTGATGGTGACATCTTGTGCATGCTGGACTTTGTCTCCATATGTCCTGCGCCATGTGTACATACTATACTGTATTACATCATGGTTTGGTATACTATACCCTATGCGTACAACTAACTGCCCATGATGGTATATATATACCATATGAAAAAGATCCCATCGTCGTCTCAGGTGCCAACGAGTCAACCAACGCGGCTCTTTTCCTTCATGAATCCGCTGGCCATTGAGATCTGGCTCTACATCATGGCGGCCTACGTGCTCGTGTCCTTCACCATGTTCGTCATGGCTCGCTTCTCACCATACGAATGGAACAATCCGCATCCGTGTCGCTCTGACGTCGACGTCGTCGAGAACCAGTTCTCGGTGTCCAATTCCTTCTGGTTCATCACTGGCACACTGCTCAAGCAGACTTCTGGCTTGTCCCCCAGGGTGAGTGCATGCTGGGTAAAAATAGAGTGAGATGTGGATGTAATTGGTGCATGAAGAATGTCCCTAAGTTGAGTCTCATTTTAGTCTCCCTTAGACTTAAATTATATAATTTTTAATTGGTGTTTTATGGACAAAAATACTCACCATAATTCCATGAAAATAAAAAAATTGTCTCCCAATTTAAACTGATTCAAACAATATATATTTCAACACAATATGGACATTTGGGGAATTGATTACTGCTACTGTACCTCTGTACAGTACATAGAAATGTTGTCATTTTCTGTACAAATTACATTCAAGTGAAAAAGAGAGAAGGAAGTCCCTCTATTCTGGATGTAATTTTTTTAAATCAGCTAAATGGATGGTAAATTGGTGAGAGAAATACTCAAGAACTTTTCTTACATCAATTTTAGTGTTGGATATATCTGTTTCTTGTAATTTGGCCTGTCACTTATTTGTAATTTCATCCCAAAATGTCCCTGTATATGTTGAGTCAGTATCCTTATGTTGGGCCTTTTTTTATTAATTTTTTTATGGGGAAATAAGTGTCCCTGTGTCAAATTGTCTGCATTTTGAGGTGTCCGCTTGCACAGGTCTCACTGTGTATATAATGAATGAATAATGGCAATACTGCAGTATATTTACAGCACCATCTTTATCTGATGTGTATATATGTACAACATGATGTTATTCAAGATAAAATACGCATAAATTGAAAGAGAAAACACATGTAATACCCATGCTCCAAATACACAGTACCTCAGAGCTTGAATTTATTCATTTTGAATGTTTATCTTATAATAAGGCACCCTCTAACAGTCTAACTGACCTAAAAATTTTTGTAAACAAGCTTATTTTTCCTCTTATGGAAACCTTGAACTGGACCTATCTCTCAAACAATACCCTGGATCTAGTGCCAGTCTTGCATAGTGCTACAAAATTTACCAGGTTAAACGGTGGCACTAAAGTGTGGTTTCACTGTACAGTACTGTATTTGCTATATCAGTGCAACTCAACATGGGTACCATCACTGGTGTCTAGAATGTTTTTCCTGGTCTGCCACAGGAAGTACTCTTCATCATAATGCATTCATTGAAAGTAACAGTGACGTTTGTTATCTTTATGTGAAATTTTGGAAAGACAGTGGCAGTTGAAATTATCCAATGCAAAATAAAAGTGGGCTTTTCTCCTATGATATTTCTTCAGGAAAATGTGTGCCTGCTGAAATAAATTACCCTACTTGTTCATTCTGATAAACCTTTTTTGAAGCTCACTTTTTAATTTTTGAAGACATTCCACTGATAAGCCAGCACTTCATTGGTCCTTTAAATAATTTTTGCAAAAACGCATACACTTTTTAAATATGTGCCAAAAAGTATTTCAAACAAAAAAATTTTTCACTCGAAAATGTTACAAAACTGTGCTGGTCCGCAAAAAATTATACGGAAATTTGCTGGTCCGCCATGCACAGCCCAAAAAGGTTGGGGAATGTTGTGTTCTAAAGTTGAACCTTTCTAAGTCAAATTTCTAAAGACCACAGAAAAGCTTTTGACTTTGGGAGGTTTTGACTGATGAAGGTTTGAAGTTATGGAGGTTTTGAGTCGGGAAATAGGCATTTTTGTGAGAAAAGGGAAGAAGTACCAGAAATTGTAACTGGTATAGGAATATTGGCCTTAAATCGATTCATACATGAGTTGACAGGATGCTGACCTTGGACACGTCAAAGGTTCATTTGCCAAATTAGCCTTTCACTTCCATTCAAAACACAGCACAGTCTGATTTTATTTATTTTTTTTTGTGTGGGAAGAAAATAATAACCAAAGTGCCTCAGAAAATTTGAGTTTGATATAGAAAAACACTTTGGGTTAAGGAGGTTTTTAATGGAATTCAGATGGGGACTTGAAAAAAAAATTGAGTTAGGAATTAAGGTATTTATGACGTAGGGAGGGTTGACTTGGCAAAGGTTCAACTGTATACAGTAGTATCATGGATGATGATGGTTCAACAGGCAGCTTCCACTCGGATTGTCGGCGCCATCTGGTGGTTCTTCACCCTCATCATCATCTCATCATACACAGCCAATCTAGCTGCTTTCCTCACAGTTGAGCGCATGATCACGCCGATCGAAAGTGCCGAGGACCTCGCCGAGCAGGACAATATCGACTACGGAACACTCTACGGAGGCTCAACCATGACCTTTTTCAGGGTATATAATCACATTTCATTGATTTATATGATGGTATACTTTGGCCTGACAATGGTTTGCCAGCTGTGTATAAAGGGAATACCTATATACAATACAACGCAAATTTCACATTTTGAAAATTTTCATTTGTTTTACCCATTAATATACCTTTCCTGCATTTCAGATCATGGTTAAAACAAAACCAAAAATTCCCTTTTTTTTAAAGCTAGCCTGGTAAATTTTTAGCACCCTATAGCTGTGACCTGGGGCATCCTGGAGAACTTGCTATAACTGGAAAGTTTTCACTAATCATCATGCAGTAAATTCAAATACTTTTTTGAAAATCTGAAAAAATTCCAGGACCTTGTAACATATCATTGGATGAGTCATGGCTTTTTTTCTTGAAATCTCACCTCCTCTTGTTGTTTAACACCTATGTTTTACAGTGCAGAGAATAGTTCTCTTTGATGATGCTAACTTTTATTGAGATAACCAACAATATTGATGTAGACTTATCATTTATATCATCTTAGCTTTTCTCCCTTTTGAGTACTAAGGTAAAATAAAGTAGACTTGCAATCTCTTTCAGACTTTCTTTATTTTTTCTTCATATAATACAACTCTGCAAAAATAATGCTACTGTGTATACTCTCTGCTCCTTAAACATTGTTTTGAGTCTTTAAATTTCAGAGCAAGGATTTGGGTCCTTTCATTAATTTGGGGAGTCTTTTTGAGGTCAAGGGAATGACTGCAACATTAAGATGCTGGGAATACCACAACAGTGTTTTTGAAGCTACGTAATATTTGAGCAGCACAACAGCGCCTTATACATTACAGACTGATATGAGATCCTGCAGATATGTAATAAAGAGAACCAAGGTTGTGCTGCCATCCTGCCATTAATGATGAGCAAGTATGGACCAAGACTAAACCCAGCAAGAGCTCAGGAAAGTTCAAACATGTCCCCTAGGAAATTAGCACACTCACAACACTCTGAAAAGGGATGGTGGATTAACATTTTAATTCTGATGCCTGAATAACCTTGTCATTCCTATACAGGTGGTACCTTGCAATTTGATCTCTTGCAATTTGACTGTCCTGCAATTTGATTGTCCTGCAATTTGATTGTCTTGCAATTTGATTGTCCTGCAATTTGATTGTCCTGCAATTTGATGGTTCCATTTTCTTGGAGTTTGAATCACAATTCAACCTCTTTCCCAAAATCAACCTGTTTCAGCTTCTTTTCTATGACTTTTGTGCTGTTTGCCCTTCATTTTACAGTGTCTTACAATTTGGCCATTTTGAAATTTGAACCTTGCCCAGCAATGGATTTGGGTAGAATTGCAGGGCACCACCTGTACCAGACTAACATTTTCAAGCATCTCATCCTGCTGGAACCAATTTGTAAAAAGATCTTCCCACACTCAACAACTGGAATTAAATATGGAATATATGGAATAAGGTTAGGATAGGTTACATTATTTATGGAATAAATTTATGTTGTTTCCATATTCAAATGCATTCTTCTGTTTATTTGAGTTCCTTCTTTGCTTGATAATTCCAGTTATGAAGGGTGGTAAGATTTTTTTAAAAGTTGGTTCCAGCAGGAGAGGCTTGCCAATAACATCATTCCAGTATCAGAATTACCACAGTAATCCAGCCACTCTCTGAAAAAGTCAGTGGTCTCATCCAACACTAGTACAAGTGGTACCTAGAAATTTGACCTCCTGAAATTTGACAGTAAAATTTGCAGGGAGGTTGACTTACAGTTTGACCTCTGCCCCAGAATTTGACCTGATTTGGCCACTTTTTAACATTTTTCTGCTGATATTTCTCAATTTTAAAAATTGTCTCGCAATTTGACTTCTTTGCAATTTGATCCTAGTCATGGCAATTAATGGATTTGGGTTGAATTCCAAGGTACCACTTTTGCATGCACAGGACCATATGTATCCTCAGCAAATGCTGGTTTGTTATACTGCACCCCTGCATATACAGTGAGACCCGTAGATGCGGACATGATTGGTGCATCAAGAGTGTCCCTAAGTTGAATTGTCCCTATAAGTTGAGTCTTGATTTCCCATAGACTTACAATATATAATTTTTAATTGGTGTTTTATGGGAGAAATATTCTTCAGAATTCCCTGAAAAAAATTGTTTGCCACTTGAATTTGAATTATTGAATACATTTTCAACNTGTTTTATGGACAAAATACTCACCCATACATAATTTCCATGAAAATAGAAAATTGTCTCCCAATTTAAACTGATTCAATCAATATATTTAAACACAATATAAGAACATTTGGAGCATTGAATAGTGTATCTCTGTACTGCTGTACATTGAAATATTTGCATCTACAAAAATAACATTCAAGTGAAAAAAGTAGAAGTCCCTCTATGCTGGAAGTAATTTTTTATATCAGCTAAAGGGACGGTAAATTGGTGAGAGAAATGCCCAAGAACTTTTCTTACGTCAATCTTAGGGTTGGAAATATCTGTTCTTGTAATTTGGCCTGAGTATTGCTAGCTGTGTATTTGCAAGTTAATCACAAAATGTGCCTATGTTGAGTCAGTGTCCTCATGTTGGGCCTTTTTTATTAAATTTTTCTGGGGAAATAAGTGTCCCTATGTTGAATTGTCCGTAGGTCAAGGTCTCCGCATGTGAGGGTCCCACTGTACATCTGCTAATTGTATATCCAAGATTCATCTGAGGTCCAAATGACTGTTTTTATTCTAAAAATATATTCATAAATCTTATGTACTTGAATTGCTGGATAGGATGCACAGTTGCCAACGTACCAGAAGATGTGGACCTTCATGAACTCTCGCAAGACCAGCGCATTCGTCAACACCTACGAAGAGGGCATCAAGCGGGTACTCAAGGGAAACTATGCGTTTCTCATGGAGTCAACAACCCTGGACTACATTGTGCAACGCAATTGCAACCTCACGCAAATCGGCGGGCTGCTTGATTCCAAGGGCTATGGCATTGCGACACCAAGAAGTGAGTTACAAGGATGAGTGAGTTATATAGAGCAAAACATGATAGGGACAGCAGCAAGGCCATCGAATTTTGGGCAAAAAATTGGGCGCTTTTTTGAATTATGGGCACAATTATTTGTACCAGCTATATAAGTATAATGGAAAGTTCCTTCATGAAAAAATGTAATCAATGAACTGAATCATATACTGGGATTGACTATATACTGCTGTATATGCAGTTGATGTGTTAATGAGCTAAAAAGAAGACAATTCCAAAAATGTTATAGCACTTTGATTTTTATGAGTAAAACTGAAAGGGTCCTGTAAAAATTATACTTGGATGAAACCCCACTAATTACTTAGCTTTCAAGTTTGAAAAACTAAAATTTTTCTGAAAATAGAAATAAATAATTTCAGGATATGATCATCTATATGGGCCTCACACTGATGAATACATATAATTTGACTTATAATGCTGAGGTTGGAGGCAAGGGATATTTCCCCCCATTTTCAGTCACTCAATTCCCCTTGAAAAGCATTGTTCCATTTTTACCACTGTTCCCTTTCCTGTGTATCCAAAAAAATGCCACAATAAAGGGCCTCCAGAAATTTGAGTCATAGAAAGTGTGAGGAGGAAAGTCTTCAAGTTGCAAGTTTCTTCTAGTATCTATGAATTGTTTTTCAAGGAATTCAGAAAGAGTTTTTAAAATTCAGCTCAGGAAGATTAAAGTTGACCATCAGGTCCAACTGCATGCCTCAAGAAATGGTGCCAATGTGGGACTCAATTGTGGCAACCAAAGTACAGGTATACTGTGTGAAAAATGTAATTGAAGAGGGTATTTTTTTAGCCTGGATATCAAAGTTGTATTCTAAGTACTAATTGTACATTGTTGTACCAATTACTGTATACTCATTGTCTGAAATACAGTATTTCTTGGATGTTCTATGCAAATAGGCTCCCCCTGGAGAGACAGGATCTCACTTGCAATCCTTGAGCTTCAGGAGAAGGGCACAATCCAGATGCTCTTCAACAAGTGGTGGAAGAACACAGGTGACACCTGCCACAGGGATGACAAGAACAAGGACTCCAAGGCAAATGCCTTGGGCAAGTCCAACATAGGTGATGAAAATTTTGTTTACATACATTCAAACCTTGGTTTAGTGTCATAATTTGTCCTGGCATATTTTGTGGTACTGTAATCAAGAGTGGTGTTAATATGAGGGTATTGTATGAGAGGATAAGGTTAGATTGTGTGCTTCTAGATGAGTACTGTATAGGCAAATTAAGCATTGTTCACAGAATTTTCAGGCAACCTAGTTTGTTTTACAAGAGAGGGAGCAAACTTTTTTTTCAGACTTTATCCTGCCTATAGTAAAAGAGCAGAGCTGTTTCTTTAAAAATTCTTTGTGTTTCATCAGTTTTATTTCAAGTGTCATCATGTAGGAATCATGTTTCAAAAAATCCCCAACTTCATGCATCCAGTTTTCAATAAAGGAAGGTGCCATATGCAACAAGAAAATTAGTTAAATTACAGTATACTTTTTAACAATGTAAAATTAGAAATATAATTGCAAAAATTATGCAGAGCTCTTTTAGTTTGGGCATGTGATATCCCCATGAAAGAAGCTCAATTTCTTCCATTTTTTTTCCAAATTTCCTCTATGATAAGGATTTTTTGTTTCACTGAAAGTGAGTTATTGGCACTTGATTATGGTATCCATTCAATACTCCAGGGATAAATTTGTGGCACCATATATGATGGTAGCACTATAATTAAAGTGCACTAAATTGACAGTTAATTCAAGTCATATTTTTGCAACATTTAACCAATTTTTGACACATGCAGGTGGAGTCTTTGTTGTCCTTCTCTCTGGGCTGGCGCTTTCACTTATTGTTGCACTCCTGGAGTTCTGCTGGGTTTCCAAGAAGAATGCTGAGTCTACCAAGGTACAGTATTTTATCAATTTATGGCACTGTGATGTACTTGTGTGTATGACGAATTTTAAAACTGGAGTATGAAAGGTTTTTTTCTGGTTTACATTCTGAATAGAAATTTTCAAATATGAAATAATAAATTCCTGTCAATAATTTCTATAATCAGTCTACTGAGAAATCCTTTTTGAGCTCTGGATTAACAAGATAATACAGCCTGAGTCCCACTATTATAGATAAACCTAAAGCAATAATACTGGTGGTACCTTGCAATTCAACCCTAATATATGTTGCTGGACTAGGGTTGAATTGCAAATCGGTCAAATTGTGAAATACTCTCTGAAATTCAAAAATTCAAGTAGAGTATAAAAATTCAAAAAAGGGCCAAAGCTGGTTGAATTGTGGGACAAGGGCCAAATTGCAAGTCAACCTCCTTGCAAATTTGAAAATTGAATTCTTGGACAGTCAAATTGTGGGAAGTTGAATTGCAAGGTACAACCTGTATGAAATTTGATGCAGTGAAAATCTTGTTACAACTGCTGTAACCCCCAGGGGATAGAGGAAAATTGTGTTACTGTGAAGGATACGTTTTAATGAGATTCTCGCTTCTTTGAGCGTGAAGGGCTGACATTTTCTAGGAAATGGATTTTGTAATGCTTCAAATGTACTGCACTTCCACATCAAATATGAGAAGAATGGCCATCATGAACAACTTCTTTTGATGAAATAATGGAGAAAATTCAAGATATAAAATACAACTTTTTTGTTCTTAATTTCCCTAAGAATATATTAATCTTACTAAACAATAGGCTGAAACAAACAGAAAATATATTTTACTCACAGTATAAGAAAACATTCAATCTTTTACCATTTGTATTATGTTCCATGTACAGCTGAAACATAACTTGATCCCTTCAAGCATACTTCCTTTTCTAATAATGAGCCATTTCTGAATTTCAAAATATACAGTGGTTAACTACATCAATTTTCATCAGAGCTTCATACTTTCTTTAATGCTAAATTTTCTGCACAGAAAGATTAAAAGTTTTTTCAAGCATGCACAAACTGGGAATCAGGATATTTACCATTTTTGTCACATTTTTTTATGGCCCATGCATATATACAGCATCCATATAAAATAAATACAGTGGGGTATCAGCTTATGAACTTAATTGGTTCCTGAACAAAGTTTGTTAGCCAAATACTTTGTAAGCCAAATCACATTTTCTCTGAAGAAAGTGAAGGAATAATTTTAATTGGTTCCAGAACCTTGAAAATGCTCATGAAATTCAAGAAAATGCAACCTAAAAAATATTTTCTGGCCTAAAATGCATGAAATTTCCCCAAGACAATATACAAGAAATAATCCATTGAAGAGAAACTTTAATGTGAGTTTCTCCAGAGGCTTCTTCTTGAAAATTTTAAATGTAGCACCTTAAACTTATTCACAGACCAAGGACTTTAACTGGAAAATGTTGATGCTAAAAAGCTGTTGAATTGAAAACCCAATATAAAATGGAAAAAATGGTGATCAAGAATTGGTCACTGAACTTTTGAGACAGTCTTAGGTGAATTAATGAATAAGTTCAAGGATTAATCCCAAGATTAGGCTTAAGAAATCTTTTTTTAGACCCAGCATGAGCATTTGGAGAACTCAAAGTTGGTAAGCCAAGTCAGCATGGTTTGTAAGCTGGAGCAGCTGAGGCGAAAAAAAAAGTTTGTTAGCTGAAAAGCTTGTATAAGCCTAGACCCAACTTTACTGTGATTACAGATTTACAGAGGAAAATTAGTTGGCTTTAACAATTTTTTTTTATAACTTATTGATGGTTTATGGAGAATTTGCATGATGATGGGAATCCAAGAATATAATTCCGTATATAGCATCAAGCAATTCGTTGTATAACGAACGAGATTCGTTATTTTAACGGATCTTTTTTCTGCTGCACGCGTGTTTTTACTCTCTTAATTATTCATTCAACACTCCGCCGTAATTTCGTAATTGTGCTTTGTTCCCCCCGAAGCAACCGATGTGTCGAGAAATGATGTCCGAGCTCAAGTTCGCTATGCGATGCTCGGCTTCTCGTCAGCGCCCAACATTGCATCGCACCTGTTCCCGGTGTCTGCCGACGTCCACGTATGTGCCGGCCTCTCTCGACCCACAACAGGTCAGCCTCAAAATCACAGTGGCATTTTTATTTATTGCCTATTACAGTATACAGTGCAGTGAGACCCCGAGATGCAGACGTAATCGGGGCATCAAGAGTGTCCCCAAGTCGAGTCTCATTTTCCCTTAGACTTATACATTATGTAATTTTTCATTGGTGTTTTATGGACAAAATACTCACCCATACATAATTTCCATGAAAATAGAAAATTGTCTCCCAATTTAAACTGATTCAATCAATATATTTAAACACAATATATGGACATTTGGGGAATTGAAAACTGCGACATCTGTACAGTACATAGAAATGTTGGCATTCTCTGTAAAAATTACATTCAAGTGAAAAAGAGAGTAGGAAGATCCATATATGCTGGAGGTAATTTTTTTCAAATCAGCTAAATGGATGGTTAATTGGTGAGAGAAATGCCCAAAAACTTTTCTTACATCAATTTTAGGGTTGGAAATATTTGTTTCTTGTAATTTGGCCTGAAGTGTATTTGCAATTTAGTCACAAAATGTCCCTATATGTTGAGTCAATTTCCTCATGTTGGGCCTTTTTATTAATTTTTTATGGGAAAATGAGTGTACCTATGCCAAATTGTCTGCACGTTGAGGTGTCCGCACGTGGGGGCCTCACTATACTTCTTTTTATTTTTCAAGGAGAAAATTGAATTTGAAACAAGCATTATTATTGTAGGCATCCAGATGCCAAAGACAAATTGCCATGTTTATATATATTCAAGTATATATATATATATATATATGAGCACCTTTATCTCAAAATTAAGGGGGGGATTGGATATTTATGAATTTAAATTTTTCAAAAAGTTTAAAAGTTTAGGCTTGCATTATATTTTATTTTGATGGGAAATTTTGGACAAACTTAACAGCAATAAGGAAAGAATTTTGAAGAAAACACCTTCTTTCATGGAAATGCTTGCTGGAAATTTCTTGAACTCAAGATTAATTCATGTCCAAATGCAATTTTGGGTGGTCTTCATTATTCAGGGATAACGTATGTAACAAAGTTTAACTAAAACTCCCCAAGCAGTATATTATTGGAACCTATTTTGCAACAAGTTGTCAAGTTAATGGTTTTAGGTAGGGACACTTCCAGACACAGGAAATTTGTGAGCGAAAATTTTAGAGACTGGGGCAATTGGAGACATGGACATTTAGAGATAGGGACAATTTGAGAGAGTCCCAAAGTAACACTGCACATACACGTTCTTTTTTCTTTATATTTTACACATAATTATCTGGTTTTCCCAAGATTGTTTGTGAAGAATCTTGAAGACTTGTATAATTTTATTGGGGAATTATATTCTTTTGATAATGAAAATATGTCAAGTATGCTTTTTTTTAGAAATATTGCATAACAATACTTGAGTACTGTAGATTGTTTTCTATACAAAGCATTATATGTGTATTACAGTATACATATTACAATGGATCATATAAGGGAGGAATGAAAGCAAGGAAATGCATCTGCCTCAAATAGTCCTTGTCTCAAAATTCTCCCTGTCTCCAAATGTACCTGTCTCAAATTATCCTTATGTCCAAAAGTTTCTGTCTTCAATTGTCCCTGTCTCCAAAATTTTCTGTTTCAAATTAGCCCTGTCTCAAATTGGTCCTGTCTCCAATTGTCTTTTGTAATTTTCGTTTGATCCATATTTAATGCATTTTTCCTGGATGTACTACTCAGCCTAGTTGTCATTTCTTTTTGTGCGTTTGGCAATGTTTCTTATTTAACCCTTCTTCTAGAAAGCATTTTTTTGGTCATTCAATTCCTGATTTTAAAATAAAATTCAAAATGGTCAAAATAAAATTCAAAAATATATTACTCAGCTATAGTGGATTCTTTGCATAATGGTCTCCCCACTGGGGAAAAAATTTGTCCTTTAACCGAGTGTCCTCAGTGGATGTGTATTCCACATTTTTTTTTTCTACATGCATATGGTGGTTTGACTCATAATATGATTTATGTTACAGGAAAATGGACTTATGCCAATGTTTGAACTGCACAGGTCTTCACTTGTCAACTATGACCTGCAGGACAGCACCTGAATGTTCCATCCAAAAGGCTAAAACCATGAATGAATGGAAAAATATGAAATGGACTTCATCCACCATGCAGAAGACATTCAACTCAGAATTTCTGCCATGATTGAAAGTGTGCGACTTGATTGGTTTTATTCCTTCCACTCCAATTGTGTGTTGCCTGTCTTCCCTGCTGTGTTTTGCTTCTGAAATCCTTTTAAATGGTGGGATTTTTGTGGTCTCTATGTGTATATAGTTACCAAGCTCATCAGATTGTTATGACTGGAATCTGCAAAGAAGTCAGTTTGAAAACCAGGGATTGTCAGTTTTTTTCTTAAATGTTTATGTTGCAGGTAATGCTGCTGACAGAGATTTTGAATAAGGTTTCCTGCTGCTGGTTGAGTTTAAAAAATGAAGGTACATAAATGGGATGCATAAAGTACTGTACCAATTGCATCATATACAGTTGACTCAAACTATCTTCATGTTGGAAACCTCCCATGTAAATTGTAAAATAATTCTTGAAACCATATTGAATTTGATCCAAGATTCAAGTACAGTATAATAAACCCCACCAGCAAGTCAAAAACTTTCCAGCTAAAACCTCCATAAGTCCATATATAGCTAAATTTCGGGAGTTCTTAGGGATATAATCATATTCTTGATGCTCAGAAAAGTGAGAAGCAATAAAAATGTGGCAATGTTTTGCAAAAAGAAGTGAGTGACTGAAGTATAGATGAGAAATTTACCTGTGTCTCCAAATTCATGTCAACTCAATTATTCAGCAGTCCAAGGCCAAGATGATCACCAATTTTGATTTCCTGACATCAACTTTTTGTCTCCAGCAAATAAAATGGCACTTTTCCTAACTTGAAATGTCAATAATTTGAATTTTCCGGATCTTTTGAAGTCTAACTGCAAAATATGCAACAGCCGCCAAACCCCACTTCAGTGCTGTTATAGTACTTGTAGTGTAGTACACATAAAAGTTACAGGAGGTGTACACCTGGGAGATACAGCACTCCTACAACAGGGTTACAGACATATCTCAAGTGTGATAACACAAACAGTGCACATTTGGGATATGCATGTACTAAAGTGTTGTCTAAGATTTTCCTAATGAATATTAGAAAGAATCAGACAAAGTCAAAAGTGTGGCTCAATACTTCTATTCACTCTTTCACAACACATCCATTCATTGCCAAATATACAATACAAGCACACACTTTGGAATAGTCAACATATAACATGAATACAATTAAGTACAATGTTAAATGGGAACTCTACTATTATCAGAACACTTCCTTTTCCAAGTTACCAGCTAGGACCTAGTTGGACAGACTCTGACACTAGACTGACCAAGAATTCTTCCTGATCCAGGGTGTGAGGGAGCTTATATACAAATCTGCATCAATAGCAAAACACAGTATTGTGCAGGTTGGAACAAGCATTAATAGTCAGGTCAATCATGACCAGGAACCCATCAACTCATCTAGTCCAAAAAGGGGAAGTCACAATTATCCTGTCAAGGTGTGAACAGGAAAAGGAGAGGAATGATTCCTGAGCAATTCTTGATGGAACTGAATAACAATAAGAGGGATTTGAAAACAGGATAGAATAGGAATTGGGTCAAAACCTGCTTTCCTCTATTAAATGAATAGAGTGAAGATAATTGACTCTGGATTAACCAATTCAATTAATCTTCAGGAAGCACCTGTCAGGAGGGGTAGATCATGCCTGTTACTCAGTTGACAGGTTTCATTAACAACAGACATTTTGGCTCTGCAAAAATGGGAAATATCAGAAATGAATGGAATATGAAAACAGTTGATCACTTTCATTGATCTGAAAGAGTGCGCAAAATGTGCCTCTTGAATGACTAACTTTGGGAAAGGGTTTTCCCTTTCCAGGATAACAAAAGAAAAAACTCTGGTACCTGAAGTGCACCAGAGTTTTTTTCTTTTTTACATGCATATCATTTGTACATTTCCACTGTGTGGAAATACATGTGTATCCCAAGTGTGCACCATTTTCCCCACTTCGGCAGGCAGACCCTTTTGCATTCATCAATATGGCCCATTTATAGTTCTGAGATATTGTGGTCATGGTGAGTGACATTGTGGTCACTGAGATATTGTGGTCACCTGTGTGGGAGCTGTTAAGGATCACTGAGAGATGGTGGTGTATAGTTTCTTGCTGGAGAAGGAAGCCACGCCAGCCGTACTCCGCGCCACTGCACCCCCCCCCCCCCATCCCCTTACTCCCTATCCTCATCACTCTCTCCTTTATGCACACTACTGACAGACTCCAGGGTTTGAGTTTACAGTGCAGTGATGGGTGTCACACAACAACATACAGAGGAAACAGAGTTGCCCGCGCATGCGCGGCGGTCACGCTTTAATGAGCGTGGCAAGGGGCGAGGAAAAAGTGGAGCAATTCAGCACAGCTGATAACATGGTCATGGTGAGTGACATTGTGGTCACTGAGATATTGTGGTCACGCTGTGTTGGAGCTGTTAAAGATCACTGAGAGATGGTGGTGTATAGTTTCTTGCTGGAGAAGGAAGCCACGCCAGCCGTACTCCGCGCCACTGCACCCCCCCCCCCCATCCCCTTACTCCCTATCCTCATCACTCTCTCCTTTATGCACACTACTGACAGACTCCAGGGTTTGAGTTTACAGTGCAGTGATGGGTGTCACACAACAACATACTACACCAGGTCTAGTAAGGTTTAACATGCTGTACAGTACTGTACTTCCCATTGCCAACATGCTGTTCCAGCAAACCTGGAAAGTGCTTGAATTTTTTCTTAGGGCAATCACTAGTAATAAGCAAATTAATCATATGATAAAAGGCTTTACAGAAATTCACTAATTTTGAACACGATATGAATGAGCAAATGTAGAAATGAGAAGGAACGTGCAAGGAGTGGAATGCTGCTTTATGGATGCCGTGTGTTGAGACTACCAGGCATGTTAATTCCTGATTTTTCTCGATTCTGCAATCTGTTGAGTTATTGAGGTCATGTAATTTATACAAAATATTCCTAATGACGGAAACATGTTAAAGTATAGTAGCATTTTGAAGCGTAATTATGCAAATTTGAATGATTGTTTTGAGATAAAGCTCAGTTTCACCATCAGTGAGCTCTGTATTGTATTCTTCCATTCTGTGTTGTCCTGCTGCGTCAGTCTCATTAAATTATCAATTTTAATACAAATTTCAAAAAAACAAAAAAAATATTGAACCCCTATGTTTTTGTTGGAACTTCATTTTGTGTCATGCAAATTGTTCAGCTTCGTAAATCCCAAGTGGGATCCGCAAATGGCAGACAACAAAGCTGTGGTCAAGCGTTCGAAGAGGAAACCTGGTGTGTCCTACCCTGCCCTTGTTCCAAATGTGCAGGCCCGAGGTTATTATATTGCTGTACCTTTTTTTATTTGAGTTTATGTTTTGTTTTTCTTGCTTTTAAATTTTGCAGAATGTGCTGGAGTGGATGAAATTGCAATTTTTACTACTGCATCCAAAACCTTCTGTAAAAAGAATACAAATTGTGACATTGCTACCAGCTTAAAGAGAATTGAGGGTATCATGAGCCTTGCTCTCCAAGACGGCGTTCAAGTGCAAGGATACGTTTCTTGCATTGTTGGGTGCCCATACAAAGGTTTTGTTTTCCCCCAGGGCAACGGCAAAGGTATAGGGGACATACAACCTGAAACTGACTTTTTTCCCGCATTTTAGATTGCAAAGAACACAGAAGTATTTGCAATTTTGCCCAACTTGTTCCTTTGAGATTATGCACATTTTGTTGCTTGTTTTAGTTCTGTCTGATGTAAGAAGTGAAAATAGGAATTATTTGATATTTTCCTGGACTTTTTGCTTTGAGATTTTGCCAGACTTGCTGCTGCTGAAATGTTGTCCCATGCAAGTTCTTCCTGTTTACGTTGCCAGGGTGGGGGAAGAAAGGATGTCCCCAGGATGCAAGGATGAAAAATTCGGAATTCAGGGGGAAAATACCCAGCTGACTGCAAGAGGAAAGGGCTAATACATTTTTTTCAATTTTATTGGGCTGTATCCTGGAGAACAACTGCCTCATGCCATCCCCGTCCCTGCTGGTTGACCCTTTTCAACTGGTTGTCCCCACTTTTGGTGGGTCAGTTTCTTCCAATTGTACAAAATGAAATGAAAAAAATTGACACAACTACAATGTTTACAAACTTAGAATTTTTTTAATTATATCATTTCTTAATGCTGTTCAGAATACCAAACAAATTGACACCAAAGAATATATGCCCCTTGTAGAAGTGCCTGCAAATGTTCTACAACATTTTTATGGTCAGTCTTGCATACATCTGTGTCTAGACCTGTTTTTGCTCTCAAATGTATTCCTCTAAGCCATATATGTGCAGAAGTAGTATCAATCAACAGCCCCAAGTACAAGTGCAAAAATATAAAAATATATGTCATGCATCTTTGTGAGGGACTAACCATAAAAATGCCTTGGAAAAATTGAAAAATCTTATCCAAGACACAGTTATACTGTTAAATCTTTTTTCCACAGCATTTTTATGATCAGTACATTCTAGGAAAAATTTTCAAACTGGGTGCATTACATGGCTAATGGCTTAAAATATATTTGAGCCACTGCTGCAGCAAGTATACCTTCTTTGTCCAACTTATGTATTAATGTAGCATCCAACGTAACATTTATTGGTAATTTTGTCCAGTTTATTCAGATTCTTTAAACTTAAATGAACTGTAGAAATTGACACAAAATTAATTTCTGTGCAGTGGCCACCTGTGCATCTACATACCGACACTAGCCCTGAATAGGTGAATCATATTGTACTGAGATAGTGTAAGCTTGGCTATATACAGGCAGTGTCAAAGAATTGATCTTGTCTGCTCAGTAAAATTGTTTAGTCAAAACCTATATACAGTTGGACCCCGTTAAACTGCCCCCGATTAACCGCCACCCTTGCTTCCTGCCACTTTTTCTTCTGAAACAAATCTTCCCTAGCTTGAAGGGATGGGAGAACCCAGTTTAACCGCCATCCGCCAACCGCCAATGTTTTTTGCCAAACAAACAGGATCTTGGAACTGTTCTTTACCGCCAACCTAAACTTGAATAAACCGCAAAGTTTTCAAGGTTTTCTTTTTCTTAGTGATATTTTTCAAGATTCCATTTCTCATCCTTTTTTAATTCTTTCAGGATGATGAGAAGTTCTTCAAAGTTGGTTATTTCAGGTTGAGTTCATTTAGGTCAGATTATGTCAATTTAGAATGGATTAAATAAATGTGTTCTTATTCTTTTTGAAATTTCCTTTGACTGAAACCACAACATCTTTTGTGTTTTTCTAGATGACCTCAAGAAACCAAGCATGAAAGAACAACCCAATGAGGTGGAGGCTTGTAGAGAAAAAGCAAATCACAAGACAATCAGGAATAAACACTACTAGAAGCAAATTTGAAAATAATGAAATTTTAAATTTTAGTAAAACTTTGGCTCATATGTTTGTATGTGATGGCTTTACTCTAGTGAATTTTGCTAGTGAGACAAAACAGAATGATTATGTAATCCGGCAGCATAAACAAAAAATCATTCCTACCAGCATTTGCACTGTACTCCCCTCCATCTCAATATTTTTGTCTTCCATCTTTCAATTTTTGATGACATGCAAAATGAATTTCTACACATTCTTGTACAGAACTTAATTCAAGAAAAATTAGCAAAAATTGA